CTGTGCTATAATTGTTCTATGCACAGATTAGCAATAATATGTTTATTATATCCAAATTTCAGTCATTTTTTCTTTTTTCTTTTTACAAAGATTTTGCATTTTCCTCTAGGTGGTACTCTTTTTCTCTCTCAATGTATGTGCTCAAAGGGAAATTATTACGCATTTTCACTTGCTTCCATCCCTTACTGTAGGAACCTGGTCCACAGGCAAATGAGCTGGCCAGCAGTCAAGGTCTCCCGGCTTCTTGGGACGCTGTGTACATGAGAGTAGGCCTGCAGGGCCTGCCACGTGATTTCTCCCACAAAATGCTCTGTTTTCTGTACCTATGTAACCTTGATTCTTCTCTGCCTGCGTGCAGATCACTACCGCTCCAGCCGGCCACCACCAGAGACTCTCTCCGGTCTGTAAGTCTCAGTAAACCTATGTCTCGCACTCAGCCACCTGGTATGTTCTTTGGGCTTGCGGTTTCTCAAGCACAAATCTGGGAACAATTCAGACTCAGTCCGAACACTTACCCTATGCTGACATATTGGTTATTCGTGAGAAGTTGATCTCTTACGAATTGTATGCAATGTGCAGCAGTATTCTACAAGAAGGAGTAAAATTATTCATGCAAGCGTGAGGATGTCTGGGAGCAACTTGTCTGTTCCCCTTCCCCCAAATTCCCCAGCGCTGTTCCAATTCCCCAATAAAAATCTTTAAAAAAAAAAGAATGTTCGATTCATATCCTTTACTCATTTGTCTATTATATACACTGAAGAATTCCTTTTTCCAGGTCCCTCAACTTTATGGTGCCTTTTATAAAAATAAAGTTTTAAATTTAGATGCAGTTAAAGTTTCAATCTTTGTCCTCTATGGCTTTTAATTTTAATAGTTTGCTAAGTTTCTTCCCCCTCTCTCAAAGTTTGTAAAACTCTTCTACCATATTTTCTTTATTGTTTTCAATGGTTAGGTCATTAATCCATCTAGAGAGGTAAGTATAATGGGGTGAGAGATTTCTCTGTCAACCCAGAAGGGATGGCAATACAAGGATACCTAGAGGATAAAGAGTTTAGCCATTCCTGTCACATGTGGAGAGGGTGAGTTAGGCAGTAGAGAAATTAAGGCACAGACAGGGTAGGTTAACTAGTCTAAGCGAACGCAAAAAGTTGGTGGCCGGCCATGGCTTAAACCCAGGCAATGTATTCCACAGCCCGTTCGTAGCTGCTGTGTCCCATGGTTCGATACATCTAATGAAAAGGAAGAGCATTATTTCTCACAGAGCACAGCCAGAGCTGAAGTTCAAAAATTAGACTTGTTATTAGACGCGTGCGTAAAACACCACCTGTTTCCAACACCTTTATCTTAAACCCGGGAAAGTGACACTCTGAGAGAGGTATCCCTTGCAAGATGACGTCCCGCCCACCAGGCCAGGGTCCAGAAAGGCTCGCTTTCCGGGTTTTGGAACCGGAAAAATCTTCCCCCCGTTCCAAGACAAGTGAAAGGTAGAAGCGCACGCCAAGGCCCCGCCTCCATCTCCGCCCGAAACTGTGCCCTGCTGCGCATTCCAAAGAATGTGCTACGGCGATGGGGTCGACAGCAAGCGATGAAGATTACTTCCAGAGGGGCAATCTGTTCTGGTTCACCGTCATCACCCTCTCTTTTGGCTATTACACGGTAAAGGCAGGGAGGAGAGTGAGCGCTCTATTCGGCGCAGGATTCGCGCCAGCCAACGAAGAGAGGTCGCGCAGGCGCAATTCCAGGAACCGCGGGAGAGGGGACTAGACCCCGGAAGATGCTGGCGCATTGGTCGGCCCGCGCCTTTCGCCTGTGCCTGAGGTCCTGAGAAACCAGCTACTCAGGCTTTCCCTGTATGGGGGCGGGGACGACTCTGGGTCTAAATCTTTCAAGATGGTGGCGGCGAAGTCGGAGGCCGGCAAGGCTGCGACGGCCTACTTCCGTACAGCCAGACCCTTGCCCTCGCTTATCACAGTGCTGGGGCTGGGATATTTCGCGGTGAGGCGTTGGGGAGGGCGGGACATCTGCTTTTGGCCCGCCGGGCCCTCGTAGGGCGAGGGGCGCTGTGGGAGAGAGGTCTTGCGCTTGCGCGCCTGGTGGTTGCCTAGGTTACTCGCGTAAACGGAAGTTCGATGGGCTCACGGGCCGGTTTCTGCTTTATAGAGTGTTCCTGCCTTTGGGTTTTCGCACCTCCACGGTTACCGCGACTTAACCGAGTCTGAGTAGAGCTCACCCAGGAGAAAGCCAAGTTGACAGACTGTCAGGATAGGGAGCGCTTCTGAAGCAGAATGTTTAGAATTGCTTGGAAAACGGGGATAAACCTAAAGGATGGGTAGGATTTAATTGGTAAGGGATAGAGAGGATATAAATGCTATGGCATAGATGTGGACTTAAGAAGGTAAGGATTCTCTACAGAGAGGAGAAGCTACTTTTGTCTGGCTGACCGAGTTCGTTTGAAGGATAACGGGAAAGACTCCTGGAAAAGTAGGTTGGGGACTAAGTTGGTATAATTTTGAACGAAGGCAAAGCTATTTAGATATTTGCCTCGGAGATCCTGGAAACTGCGTATAAGTGTGTTTGTCCTTTCCACAATGTTGTTGTGAAATCTGGCCTGATTTCCCCATATATAAAATGGAGGTGTTGAGCTAAAAAGGTGCATTTCTGTTGTGTGATTCTATGTCTCTGATTAATTAGAAAACAGATGGAGGAAAGCTTTGGTGACTTCAAATTGAGATATTGTGGAGCTGGTAGATGCTGCCCCTTCCATTCCCCTTGGTTTTGGAAGATGCAGTAATATTTTATGTTTTACTTAAATGTTAGATGTGTAACAACATAATGGGAGAGGTAGTACTCCTCTTGGCTGAGATCTGAATGGGACAAAAATTTGGACCTGTTGGGGCTTAGTTATTCTCAGAAAACTGACAGAGATTACAACAGAGACTGAGGGAAAGTTGGTAAGATTACAGAAACCTTATGTGATTAAGTAGTTGCTATTAGCACTTCACGAACCTGATCCCACATATTTTCCAATTTTGTGCAGTGGATCAGTCCCAGATTTAGAGGTAGAAAAAGTGAAAGAAGAGAAAGGGATTCTAAATCAAATGGTTTGGCTCAAGCCATACTTCCTGCAATAAAGAAGCTAGCCAGGGCACATAAACTCTTAAGATTTGTTAATAACTTGTATAAAATAATGTTTTTGGTGGAATTCATTCATTAAGGATAGAAGTCATCCAACCTGGGCACTGAGTCTGATAACCACAGTTTCCTCAACATAAATCTCCCACCAGAATAGCTTTTAGAAAGTCAAAAGTGGAAGCCCAGATGACTTAGTTCAGAGTTTCTTTGGTCTGTTCTTATTCTTGTAGAGTCAGGATTATTTCATAGCCTCTCTGAGAAACAAACACTTACTGATTTAAGTGACCTAATAGATGTTCTGTGCCTCTGGTTCTCTTTCAGTGGGTTGTCTTCTGGCCTCAGAGTATTCCTTATCAGAGCCTAGGGCCCCTGGGCCCCTTCACCCAGTACTTGGTGGACCATCATCATACCTTCCTACACAGTGGGTAAGGAGAGCTGCAGAATGGGCTGTGGACACGGCAGCTCCAGTCTCACTGTAGACCTGGGAGGCCTGCACTTGCCTTTTCATATCTAAGAATGGCGCTAGTTCACTTTAAGCACCTTTCTTTTTGAGGTTTCTGTGTTGGATTTCATCAGTAGATAACCATCACCTTAAACCAGGTTGACCTTTGTTTCAGGTATTGGATTGCCTGGCTGATTCACGTGGGAGAGTCGTTGTATGCCATGGTATTGTGCAAGTAAGTGTTTTTAATAGATCTTTGTGGCTTTTCTCTTGGTATCTGATATAAGTTGAGAGTACCACATTTAAATAATTCATGCACTTGTAGGCTGAGAGAACTTTCAGGGTAGAGTTGAATCCCCATGCCTAATACTGAACCTAGCCCGGAGAGAGTACCCAATAAATATTTCATGAACTAATTAATTTCATTTGTGTTAGCTAATCAGTTATTTAGTTACTTAATTCAGATGATTTTTCCTATTTTTTAAAAATTCTCTGCCTAGCCCCAACTAGAACAAAAGATTAGGAGGTTGCCATCTAGTTTGAAAAAGAGCTGAGTTATGGACTGAGGCCATTGATTCTCAATTCTGGTTTCACAACTGAGTCACTTGAGGAGCTTTTTCAAAATACGCAAGTCTGATTTCCAGACCCACAGATCCTGATCTGGTAGGCCTTCCTTTAGACGTGGGCATACGTTATTTTTACAGGCTCCACAGACAATTCTGGGCTGCAGTGCCAGTTTAAAAGCCCCTTGACTAGATGCTACTCAGCATATGCCAGTGTAGGTGAATACTATGTGAGAGTACTAGAAAAGATACTGTTTACATTTGTACCTTATATACCTTATGTAGTGGTATAATGAAGGAGCTGGTTCTAGTAATGCCAAATTGCTTAGCATGTTTTTTTCTGGTCAGGATTAACTGTCACCTCTATTGTTGTAATACTTCTAAAAATAGAAACTAAGGTACCTTATTACTACTGTGTTTTAATAAAAATAATTAATGTATATTGGGTGAGCGCTATGCCAGGCACTGCTGAGTGCTTTAAGTAGATTACGTTACTCTGTCTTCTGGTGATAAACAAGCTGGCCTTTCCAGGAAAGGAGCAGAAAGCTGCTTTGTTCTTTCTCACCCTCTCCAAGTAAATTCACCTTGTGGGTTGTTGTCTGCCTCCCACCCTAGCCCTGGATGAAAAGAAATCATAAGCAGTTCCATAGGTTTTCCTTGTGCTGTGATCTAGTCTAGCCCAATCTATTTATTGAAACTGTAAACTTACCTAATTCAGAATGTCTGTTCTCATCCAGCTGGGACTCTGGAGCCTGCTGTGGGGAAGAGAGCACGTTTAATGTCTTCTCTCTCATACCACCTTTTTTTCCCTATTCGCCAGCAGCTGCCTGTGGCCCCGGGGGTGGTGAGAGTGGTTAGGGGAAACAGGGCACAGCCGGCCTCATGAGCAGGCAGCTGGCTGCTGTGGATGTTGCATACACAGTGTTGGCTCTTCTCTCCAGAAGTGGATTTGGGGGAACCGCCAATCACTGGGGACCTCTCTTCTGCACTTCCCCTGAGGACGCCTCCTTGCGGTTTCCCCTCAGGATCAGTGATGGGGGGAAGTTCCTTTATTGCGATCTCGCCTACCCTTTGGTTAGGCCTTTGGGGTGAGGTCCCTTTTAAGCCCACCATGCCAGTGCACTTCCACAGGATCTGTGTGGCTCATGATAACAGCTTGCTTGTCCCTCCATGGGATAAACCTGCCAGTGCGTGCAGTTCCCAGTACAGCCATGGATCTTTGCTCTCCCATCAGGCAAGTAGACCAGACTTTAAACTTTTGAATCAGATGTTATTCCCTTCCTTCCCCCAAATTCCAGGGGACTCATGTCAAGCTCTCCAAGTGGTTCTGTTGAAGCTGTTCTTTGGGCTTGACTTGTGATAGGAAATGCCGCAGCATTAGTCATTTGCTTAAATGACCTCTTTCCAAAGTCCTCTTCAGGTCCTCAGTGAAATCTCAGTTTGGAGGTGTGTGGTCCAGCCCTTATAGTGTTGGACTGCTTAACACCTGTTTTGTTATTGGTATTTGGAGCCTCTAATGAAAACTAAATGACTCAGATTTAACATCCTGCTATCCAGTTTTTGAAGGGCGGAGGGAGAACAGGCATGTAGAGTTTAGGTCATTATCATCATGTCCTTGAAACCATTTCTTTATGGTCTAACATGTTGCAATGTAACCTTGGTAACTATAAAATAGAATAAATATTCCTTTCGAATTATGAATGAATAAATTTAAGTGAGTGATCACTACACAAAGACATGGAGTACGTTTGTAACCTCCCAAATCCCACTATGCAGCAACAAAAAGGAGCTAGTGAATTCCATTTAACCAGAGATAAGATTGGACTATATATTTGACTTTATAGCCACCATAATATATATACATATAGATATAAACTCTTCTATAACTTTGTACCATTGTCATATATATGCCTATTTTTCCATGTCTATACCTATAAGTTTACTCATTCATTTTATTAGTACATAGTATTTTATCATATGGATGTGCCTTAATTACTTATATATTTAACAAATTCCCCTTCCAATGGACTTTTAAGTCTAGTTTTTACTATTATAAGCAACACTGTATGAACAAGAAATTCTCATACATCCTGGCCCACTTTGATACATATTTCATTTTTTTATTGTTTGCTGGTAGAATGTATGAATATAGTCGATTTTTATCTATTGAACTTATACCTAGTGGCCTTGCTAAATTCATTTGTGAATTCTAATAGTTCATCTGTAGAGTCTTATTCATTTCCTAGGTATACAATTGTGTCTAGAAATAAAGACAGTTTTATTTCTTCTTTTCAATTCCATATATCCTTTATTTATGTTTCTTTCCTTATTGCACTGGCTAGTACCTCCAGCACAGTGTTGACCAGAAGTGGTGAGAGTAGGCATCCTTGCCATATTCTTGATCAAAGGGAAAGCTTTCAACATTTTGCATCATGTTTTTTTCTAGAGTTGTGTAGATCTCCTCTATCAGAATAAGCAAGTTCCATTCTATTTCTAAGTTTGCTGAGGACCCTGATTCAGTAGGATGTTGAAATGTATCAAATGCTTACGCATTGTTTAAGATGATCATAGTATTTTTCTCCTTTAATTTGTTAGTGTGGAAATTGCAGTTGACCGTTGAAGAACACGGATATGAACTGCACATGTCTGCTTATAGACTAATTTTTTTTTCAGTGAATACAGTCAGCCCTCCTTATCCATGGGTTTTGCATCCATGGATTCAACCAACTGCTGATTGAAAATAACATCTTCAGTCCACAGTTGAGAATCTGCAGATGCATAGGGCCAACTGTATACATTGTTCTGTATCATTTTATATAAGGGACTTGAGCATCCTTTGATTTTTTTGATTTTTTTGATTTATTTTTTTGTATCTGCAAGGGTTTCTGGAATCAATCCCCTGCAGATATGAAGGGCTAGCTGCAGTTAAGTTTTGGGGGAGTCGAAAAGCTAAACGCAGATTTTCAATATGTGAGGGATCAGTGCCTTTAGCCCCCACATTGTTCAAGGGTCAACTGTATGTCATTGTATTTAAATTTTGTTTTAAATTAAGTCATCCACATGAGACTTATTTATATACAGATGAGACTGTAGAAATCCATTCACTTCAATTGGGTCATTTTCTTTTGAGCTTTGTTTTAAGTAGTTGAGTTACAGGTGTTTATTATAACTGTATGCCAGGCCCTTTACTAAGTACTTTGTATATATTATCTTATAAATCATCTCAAAATTTGATGAGATAAGTACTATTGTTCCTGTTTTTCAGACAAGGAAACTCATTCTGAGAGACAGTGAATTGCCAAGGTCTCAGTTGTCCAAGCTAGGATTTACATTGGTCTATCTTCGAAACACTTGCTCTAAAGCCATACCCCTGCTTTTTAATCCTATCCGCTCATCAAAATCACATGAGAAACAGTTTTATAATACAGTGCTCCAGGCAGTAGCCAGACTGTTTCTCAGGGAAGAGTGTGCCATTCTAAATGCACAAAAAATAAATAAATAAAAAAGGAAAGAAAAATGAACTAACCATTCGAGTTAAGAAGCTGGAAGAAAATGGCAAAATAAACCCAATGAAAGTATATAGGAGTGCGTGTGTGTGTGTGTGTGTGTGTGTGTGTGTGTGTGTGTGTGTATTTAATTGAAGACAATAACTCCTATGATGCCATAACATGCAAATTCTGGTGGTTAAATATTTCTTTTCGTTTTTTAGGTCTAAAGGCATCACGGATAGTCGGGCTCAACTACTCTGGTTCCTGCAGACTTTCCTTTTTGGGATAGCCTCCCTCTCCATTTTGATGGCTTACCGACCAAAACGCCAAAAACGAACTTAAAGAAGAGACACAAAAGCTTTCTCTACACTTTGCTATCCAGTCTCACCTTTTTGGGGGTGTGCTGTGTTTATTCCATCTTTCTACTTTCTAGAAAGTTAAGACCCTCTAGTTATTCATTAGATTAAATGCTCTGATTGAACTTTAGTAGATAATAGAAAAAGATTTTAGCTTTTCAATTCTGCACACAAACCTGTTCGGCAGAGAGCTTTCAGAAAGCTCTTCTTGATGTTCTGGGCTGTGTTGGTTCTCTCTCCTTGTCATCTGTTTTAAGCCATCTACTGAATTTGCTTGTTGGTGTACCTTTGCTCCCACCTCCTGACTAAAACACAGTAGCCTTCCCACCACCATCCTAGCTCTCCTTTCCCCAAATATTTTCCATCTTTTTGGACCAAGGTGGAGTGACCCTCCCCACACAAATGTATTATTAGCACCTGTTAGGCAGGATCTTATCCTCTCAAACTTCCGTTTCTCACACTACTGAGAAAGATAAGGGAGATAAGTGCCTGGAGCGGGGTGGGCTGCGCAGTTACATAGCGGCACAGAGAACATGCTGCCACCCGGGAGGAGAGGACTGGGGAATGCCTTTCCTGATCCGCCCAGCCAGAGTCATCCTTCCCCCCACCTGGCCCCTGGGACAAAGTGCTCTGAGTGTACAGGGGACTGATGGCCACTGCTGGACTGCTGCTTCAAGTCAGGACCACAGCTCAGACAGCTTTATCTTTCCTCTAGCACCTGCCCAATGGCCTTGGACACAGGTGTTCTATCAGTGTTTACCGAACAAAGGAAGGAAACTGATTTCCCTTTCCAGGATCATTCCAATTTTTATGTGAAAACTAAAGAACCCATTCAGTGTACCCTCGTCTCAAAGAAAAGCAAGGGACAGCTCTTGAATGGTAGTACCACCTTTCTTTGGGTTCCTTGATGGTATACCTGTATGTTTTTCACACTTTCCTATTCTTGGTCCCTTTCTCCAGACTCTGTAGATGTCTCCCCCCAGCTCTGTCTTACTCCAACTCAGACATTCCTGTCCTAGAGATTCTAGCCCATGGGTGATCGAGCTGGTTACTATCTCTCCCGTTCCCCTTATTATACCTTATTACTACTGACTGGTTGGGGCAGGAGGTGCATTGACTCTGTCCCTTGACCCTGGTAGAATGACTGTCACCTCTAGGAACCACGAGAGCTCCTTTCCTGGAGAATCACCAGTTTGTCCTCTAGGGACTAGACCTTATTTTCTTTCCATGATGCACTAGGGCGTGTTATTTTCTTTAAGCAAACATTTATGAGAAACAACCCCCTCCCCCAAAAAAGAGGCCCCAAGAAAAAACAACCCTGAAAGATTATGGACTAGAATTGTTTCTGGTGGAGATCAATTTCTACAAATCTCAGTCTTTCTCTGTTTCTCTTCTAATGGAGGGGTTGCGTTTTGGTAAGGAAAAAGATTTTAAACAACATGGTAATCCAACCCAGATTTTTTAAGACCATGGTCCTCTCCAAGGGAAATAATGACAATAATATTAATGGTGCCAGGAACAATATGGCAGATTACTGAATGAAATGGATTAACTTGAATAAAATGCTATGAATTGTCTCTCCAATAAAATGCTGTTTTTTGTGTCTGTTTGGATATATTGTCACATCTGCTTCTATTATACCTATTCTCAAATAGACACTATTATGGAACTGTTAGTCCAGTTTAGATACCAGGGATGTATTTTTCACTGATACATGCAGAATGCCCCAGTTGTGGGTCATATACTCCCCATGTTTCTAGAGCTGCCCACAGCCCACATAAGTCTTCCATGCACACTGAGCTACAGGTGGACCTGAGCATCCCCTTTCATTGTAGGATTGTCCTCTAGTTTCCATTTAAATTTCATTCAGCATTTGATACAGTCTAGCAGCAAGTGAGAGGAGTATTCTGGCTTTTTAAATGCCCAAAGTATAAAATCCTGTAATCTTATTTGGGATATGATCATGGCTGACAGCAAAAACGGATCCTGAGGGAGCGAATAGTGCAGGTCATTTTATTAACCTGTGAACTGTATTCCGTCAGGTAAGATAACATCACACAGTCTCCGACTGATCTTGTGTTTCTTCCCTCCCTCACAGCTCACCAGCTTAGAAGTCAGACTGTGAAGCAAAAAAATAAACAAAAATGGAGACGTCTTGGCTTTGTATTGTAGTCACAGTGGTGATATAGTAGAAACATCTTGATGTTGAGTTTGGATGAGAAAAGGCCCGAGGCGTTTTGGTGGAAGCAACTGTGAAGGCCAAACAATCTATAAACTTTTTTTACCCACCCCAAAGATCCCAAGAGCATGTATAGTTTGGAAGAACAAAAAAGGCCCCATGGAACAAAAAAACTAATGACCTCACAACTTAAATAATAACAGGCCAGATTTATAAACACTATTTCCTACATTCAACATGTTTATGACTACGCAATCTTAAGTCCAAACATGTTTTACAAGCCATGGTTTTAAAACAAGTCTTGGGTTTAAGAGGCTATATTCCTACTGAAGAGTTTATATATTTTGCTAAAGAAGTTCTTTAGCAAAACAACTTGCCATTTGAGAGCCGGTATTTACACGGAGAATTCTGAGAACACAGAAGTTGGAGTACCTGCCATTGAGGCTAAAGAACAAAGTGCAGTCACATTTTTATCTTTGCCCAGCCTTTCCTGGAACCTTATTAAAGCTCTTAGTTTAGCAACCTAGGTTATAAGTATCATTTATCCTTCTTTATCTTATCAGCACAAATAAAAAAAAGAAAGAGGGCCGGCGAGTGGCGCGGTGGTTAAGAACTGGCTTGGGACGCCAGAGGGCCCCCGTTCGGATCCCACATATGAGGGCCAGTGACACTGCCCTCTACAGCTAAGATGCTGAACAACAGCTCAACCTGGAGCTGGGCTGCCGTGAGTCA